CATTGAATAAGAACATTGAATAAGCTTATTAACTAAAAGGCAAAAGGAGGGAGAAGCAACGTATAATGTATAAAATAAATATAAAATAAATGTCCTCAATGGGCACACAGGACAAATATATTTGTTTTCATAAAATAATTAAAAGGTTGACCTGTCTCCAAACGGTGCCACGATGACTGGTATCCGAAATTATCCACGTTCACACTAAATTAAGTTTCACCAAGTATAGTTCACTTACTAAACGACGAAGGCGTACGTATCACTTGTACGGCGACGAAGGCGCACGTATTGCGTATACGACGACGAAGGCGCACGTACATCCGGAATACAACCACAAAACACACAGACACACGAAAAAGTGAATAAATAACACGCAGTTTAGATCGTGTTTTACACTCCTGTGTTGGCGAAGAAGGAAAAAACATATACGATCACTATACGCGTTACCAACTCGTCCACGCCAGGACACGTGGTAGTGTTACCAACTGCGCCTTATTGTTGATATGTAACAGGACCGAACATTCTCCCAGCGTTGATTGACGTTGACTTTCAAAAAAAAATTAGGACAGCTCATCTTGACAAAAAAATCACCTGAATGCTTAAAACTTAGTTATCATAAAGTGCTTAGAAAAAAAAAGAAAACTTAGGAATAAATGATTGATCAAGGGATGGATGAGTCGGATACTGGTAGTTTCACTAATTTGACGACTGGACGTCTAAGTACACCATCTCGAGTTTGAATGGTTACCGCACGTACAATTGAATCTTTACCGGGGTGGACTGCAATGATACGACCTAATTGCCAGTCCGTAGGTGGGCGATTCGGAGCTTCCACGATAACTAGGTCTCCTTCGGATAAATTTGGTGTGGGTTGGTACCATTTGAGACGCCCTTGGAGGGTGGTAAGATATTCCCGAGTCCATCGTTTCCAAAATGTTTGATGGCATTGATGGAGTAGCTCCCAGCGGTTGAGACGATTCATTGGACATGGAATAACATCAGGTTCGGGCACAGCCATGATAGGTTGACCTATTAGAAAATGGCCAGGGGTCAATGCACATATATCATTAGGGTCAGATGAGAGTGGGGTTAGAGGTCTGGAATTCAAAATCCCTTCTATGCAAGTCACTAATGTTAACAATTCTTCGTGTGTTAGGATTTGTTTTCCAATTGCATGCTTCATATGATGTTTGACACTCTTTATAGCCGTCTCCCAAAGCCCACCAAAGTGCGGAGCTGCAGGAGGATTGAAATGCCATTGACCATTGACAAGGTATATGTTTAGAAACATTCGTCTGAGTTTGATTATCCTGAAATAACGCTTTTAGTTGTTTTGCCGCTCCCACATAATTAGTAGCACAATCTGTGTATATATTGGACGGTATACCACGACGAGCTACAAATCGATCGAATGCAGCTAAAAATGCAGTGGATGACATGTCCGACACAATTTCCAAATGAACGGCTTTAACCGACATACATATAAATAGGGCTAAATACATTTTATTTGTGCGTGCATTACGGCGGCGACTCTCCTTGACTAAAAACGGACCACCATAGTCCATACCGACCTGCGAAAA